GTCTCAAAGTGGGTTCCTCGTCATCGAATTCTAATTGTGATAAGTTCTGTTACAACCTTGAGCTTTTTCCTGCATATTTTAGTCAAAGCAAAATCAAATGATGCAAAAAATTAAATATAGGGTTGTGAGCTGATTTTGAACAATCTCACCATTACACTTCAGACTTTTATGATAATATTTTGCATCATTGCTGACCTTCATCAAAGAAAGCCAAGAAAGATACCCAAAAAGGTTCAATGGAGGTATCACTCTATGAGTGCAAGGGATAGGTTAAGATCTCTTATCTTCACTGCCATTACACTCAATAATGTGACTGAAGAAAAGGCTTGTTTGTTTTTGAATATTTGCAAAAAAGCTACCCAAGGGCTAGCTGCATCAGCTGTCCATACTTCTGAACTAAAAGAGAAGATGGAATGCAGCCAGTCAATAACATCTATTGCCAATTCTTGTCTAACCCTGTAGTGTGAATTTTACTGTTGCCCTTATAGTGCATCCACAGCCCATAAGTGTGAAGTGAGATTTTTGGTGGTAACAAGATGCAAACAACGAATACAGATAATAATCCAGCAGAGTAACCACTGGAATATGTCAGGCCCACCCAGGGAAATGGATCTTCATATTGTGGTGGATAAGTCACTTATGTCATCATGGTGGTGTTCTGTTTCTAGGAGTAAAGCTAATTAAACTTCAGGGTTTACTTATATGTTGAGTACAAATTAACAAATCTCTTTATACAAATTAAAAGTTAGGCCTCACTACACAGTTTTGGGGTGGAAGGATTATCTTAATGGGATAGGTTAAATCTCTTATTTTCTTTTGAGAAAAGAAGAGTAAGAGGTGACCTTATTGAAGTTAATAAAGTACCCAGGAGATCAACAAAATAAAATCCTCCAATTTCTTGGAGCTACATTCTGAGGATAATACTGTATGATGAGAGGACACAAATTAAAGATTTGGAAAAGACAGTTTTATTTTCCTAAAAGGGTGATGAGCTTATGATATGGAATGAGTTACCATCAGCAGTAGTGGAGTTTAGCACTTTAACAGATTAAGAGGAGAATCAGATTTCCTGTAAAATAAAATGTAAATTTTAATTATTATTATTTTTTGGGGGGGGGTGCAATGGCAGTATTGAAGTATGGAATGGTACATTGTTGTCTGGATAGCTATTATATAATTTTGCTAGCTGTATTCAAATCTTGACAGTTGATACAACATTTCTATCACACAACACACACATACATACATATTAATATATTGTTATAAGATAATGTTACAATTTAAATATTGGCTAGAAGGAGCTGTAAGTCACACTGATAATATTCAGACCAAATGGTTAAATAAGATAGGTCTAGAACACCTAGAAAGTTCTAAGGGTGTGACATAAAGTTTTCTAGCATATTACAAGCTAAATTATAAAAACAAGATAGCTGGGAAGTGTGTAGAGTTGTTTCAAGAATAGAATGAGTTGAAAAATAGTCAAGAATATAGTTAAGAGTATAGTTATTTGAAGACAGAGAAAAATCAGACAGCATGTTTCTGAAAAGTGTTTGGAACTGTGTTTGTTATCATGCTTATTGAGTTACTTTGTACAAGTAAGTTGATTTTACATTAGTCCTAGATGTTTAGAAGTAAAATTGAATGTCATTTGTAATGTAGGCCTATAACATTAAAGGAAAAAGAACTTATTCTTATCACATGGACTGAACACTGAATTATTTTCACCACATAATTTAAAAGAGTATGCCCATCAAAGAACAATGTTACAATAAACACACACATACATATATATATATATATATAAAACAGCTTTGTATGTTTAAATGTTTTTAAAATACCATAATACATTGGCATATATTTTTATAATAATGGTCTTACTAAAGAACACTGAGAGTAAACTATATAAGGCATGTCAGCTGTGGAGTTTCACAAAATGACTAGCATTTTGTTAAATTGCTGATTGAATCTAGCATATGTGGAAGAAATTTTATCAGCACCAGATTTATTGACTCATAATTTTCCATGTTAAAATGGCAACTGAAATATTTCAGTGAAGAAATTTGTAACAAAAACATTCATTAAAATAAAGAGAAACATACCACTTAAAACTTTCATTTTTACCAATGTAATTGCTATGATGCCCTTTATCATGAACTTGTGATATCTGTTTCAGAACTAGAATGTGTATATACCTATCACATTCTGTGATAAAAACTTATAATATTGAAAATCATGGTTATATAAAGATGTGAACCTACTGCTCAACAGACAAAAAATGAAAGTAACAGGGTATAAATAAAAAGTAACTATCACTACACTGTACACAATAAACAATTGAAACCTTTGTTGTACTGTGTCAAGTGTTTGTGAACATTCAACAGTGAAATTTAAGTGCAGACAATGATTAAAAAACTAAAAACGTCTAGACTTTTTTTAAAGTGAAGCATCAACCCCAGCAGTTTGAACCTTGGGCTCAGGCTACAAAAAAGGAAGAAAAATACAAATAACAAATAACGGTGCTACTATAGCGTGAGGTCTACCACACTATAGCGTGAGGTCTACCGCTGCATTATCCATCCCTCATGGA